TCTCTTGCAGAGCAGCTGGTGGGTTCAAATAGTCAACCTTTTTGGTTAACAGCTGAGCACTTAACCATTGCACCACCAGGGCTCCTTATCCTAGGAAGCTAATGCCCTAGAAAACTAGAATTCTTACAGATTACAAGACTAGACCATTTTGATCTGTCCTAAAGACACTACCAAAAGATGTAGGTCTTACCTTCTGGTTAATGTTCACATACACATTTATTACAGTTTTTTTACTAAGTCACTCTGCCTTACCTTATAAGTGGATCAATTTCATAACTAACTAAAACACAAACTGAAATAGGCTTCAAAACTTATTCTTACAAATACATGACAGAAAACATGCTCCTAACCACACTCCAAACAGAAACTCAGACTATGAAAACTGAACTCCCAGTTCCACACTAAAAGTTATTTGTAAGGTCTCCCTCTACTTCATAGTCTACAACACACAATACAAGCTCAAGAAATGCTGTCCTACGACAAAAGACAATGGAAGAGAAAATGCAAATAAAGAGAATGAGTTCTTCACCATTCATATAGCGCCCATTAAGAAATCATTTGCCTACCACATACAGCTGATTTTCTCTATACTTGCCTTTCTTCTCCCTGCCCCCACCTCAATTTTTACATACCCTTAAAGCAGGACTAACGACACCTAACAACAAAGCAAGACTTTAGCAAAAACCACTAGGAAGCCCAACACCCTCCCATACTTCACGTGCACTGGATTATCTTTCCTCCTCCTCCCAGGCCACTCACTGCAAGTACCCTTACACTAGTGCTTGTTGGTATGTTTCAGCTGGACTTTTATATATAGGCTTAAGATATGGTTACAAAAAACAATTGAAAATAAATGAAGCTAAAGTGAAGTGAAGTTCAAGGCTGAACCAGTTTTACAGAGGTGAGCTCAGCACTCAACAGGTAACAAGAGCTGATCAGACGATGTGTTACAGTCAGGATTCATTTTACAAGAGGGCTCAATCCAATCGGAGCGCTAGTGTTAGAAGAACACGAAACCTCACTCTGCAGCTACTGTGGAAACACATTACAGATGTATTAAACATCTCCTACTTTACCAGTTTGGAATCTATAATTTCCAGAGACTCAACTCCTACATAAAATGGACATTGACTATAGCTATGTAATCTCTGGAATGCTCAATTTCCCCATCAGGAAAACCAAGATAAATAACAAACGATACCAATTTCACCTATCTTGTAGATACGTACACACAAACATCCTCTTCAGAATTTCTCTGAACATAATTTGCGTCATGCCCGTGTCCTTTCTCTGGGTGCTCGCTATTGCTTCTCTCTCTCTGGACAGTGTTATCCTTGCTCTCTAACAATTGTTTCCTGAAGCTGCAGCACCAACTCTATCAAGGAACAATGGGTTAATGCACAATGCAGTGCAAGGGTCCATACACTCTGGAGCCTGCTGGTTATTTAAACAGACTGAGCATGTTGTCTTCTCTGTAAAATAAGGCTAAGAGTACCTCTCACCGAGCAAGATGTACTGGAGTATCAGGCACATGGTAGGTGACTCCATTAAACTGGTACCTAGACTGACAGTACCACACAAGGAGGGACAGGACATCTCTGACTTGACCCACGCGCAGCCCTCCCTGGTAGACAGGAGTGTGGGGGCTTACAGAATTTGCACCCATAAGACATAGTTACACCTGGTGCTTTTTACTATGATCTTACTATAACCATTGTAAAGAGGCCACAGTATAGAGAAGTCTTTAAAATTCTCAGCATAAATTAACCCAGCTAAACTGAATCCAATTACGCAGCCTCTTCAATTTTATGGCCTTAATAGTTGACCCCTGGGTTGGAGCCTGAGCCCTCCTGGGCTATCTTGTCACCAGAAGTGCAATCCCTCTGTAACATTCTCCTGATTCCAGTGGCAACAGGGAGAGCTTATTTGGGGAAGGCTAGGGAGCAAGTGAAGGCATTCTGAGTGTCCCGGTATTGTATTCTGAAGCTGCCATAACAAAGTACCACAAATTGGGTGGTATAAAACAAGAGAAATTTACTCTCTCAGTTTTGGAGGCTAGAAGTCTAAAATCAAGGTGTTGGCAGGGCCATGATTTCTCTGAAAGCTCCAGGAGACGATCCTTCCTTGCCTCTTTCCTAGTTTCTTGTGTTTGCCCAGCAATCCTTGGCGTTCCTTGGCTTGCAGCTGTATCACTTGATTCTCTGCCTTTGTCTTCACATGTCCTTCTCCCCGTGTCTCTGTCTCCAATTTCCCTCTTCTTATAAGGACACCAGGTACTGGATTCAGGCCCACGCTAATCCAGTAGAGGAGACCTAGTGGCACAACGGTTAAGCACTCAGCTGCTAAACAAAAGATTGGCAGTTCGAACCCACCCAGCAGCTCTGTGGGAGAAAGACATGGCAATCTGCTTCCATAAAGATTACAGCCTAGAAAACCCTGTGGGGCAGTTCTACTCTGTCACAAGGGGTCGCTATGAGTCAGCTCCTAACAACAACTCATCCAGACTGACCTCATCATAACTTGATTACATCTGCAAAGACCCTATTTCCAAATAGGGTCACATTCACAGGTACCAGGCGTTAGGACTTGATCATATCTTTTTGGGGACCACAATTCAACCCACGACAAGTATCAAGCTTATATCCTCCAACTCAACCTGACAGTGACAGCAAGAATGGCAGCCAGTTCCCTACCTACCACCCTTTATTCTGGTCTGGTAAAGAGGTCCTTACCTTGCCTTTAATTCCCAGCTGTCAACATCAAACATCCCTATTTCAGTCACTGAATTGTTCTACTCTCCAATGAACCTTTCAGCAACAAAATGTCCTACGTTGTTACACTGACTTCTTTTATAATTCAATTACTTATTGATGCCAGAACACTGAATTAAATTAATTAGGAGGCATGGCTTGAAAGACATGCTCAATTTAACAGCAGACAAAGGGTTCACAGTGTTCTCAGTATTTAAAAAAACTGCTATCTTTTTTCTATGCTTATTTTTGGGGGGGTTTCTCTGACAAGTCAGCAGTGTACTCATGACCCAGACCACTACCGCACCATCCTGTTTAAGGTATGATAGAAAAAGCACGGGTTCACTTTTCCAGGACATTCCCAGTTGAGCCACAGTAAAGGAATTTAGGAAAACAGATGATCCTTTCAATTAGCTGCCTCAGGCAGACATAATTATCAATAAAGAGAGCAAGGCAGGCAGAAAATGATATCGTAGAATCAGGAATGCTATCCAATCAGAAGAGGGGATGACAAGAAAGCATTTTAAAAAATAAAAAAAAAGAGTAAACCTTTTCATATAGATTGTAAACAATTGTTTCAAAAAAATACAAGACAGGCTAAGAACTAAAAGGAAAGCAGCAACAGTACAGTAATAGGTTCGCAGTGCCTGAATATAACGTGCTCCGTGAACGTGTGTGGGCGAGCGAATGCAAGAAAAAATAAATGAAAAGGAGTCAATTCTCGATATGTGTGTGAATAACATACCACGTGGATGCCATAAAAATATCTTAATTCTAGACGGCTTTCTCACAACATCCAGCCCATTTTAGACTACCTTCTTAAAGGTCAACCAATATATGATCAGAAAGCCAATTTTAACAGTAGTTGAAACATAACATTAGAAGGGTAAATCCCATGCCCCCAAATTTACATAAAGCATTTGAAAGCTAAGTGAAAATTGAGAATTATCTGCATCACTGCACTTCTTCATAAACTGAGTTTGTTTTGTTTAAATAGAAGCCACAGACTGGGACAGAATAAGTTTTAGTTATCGCTAAAAAATATTCAAAAGAAACTTTCTAGGCTATTTAAGCTCCTAGAAGACATGGGCAATGCCTTCCTCATCTTTGAACCCCTGTCCATGTTTGCAAGAAGTTGGGATTCAAAATACGTGCACTGAATGAATTAATGCTCTTTTCGGGGAAGAGCCTCTAACTGGCAACCACCTTTTAGCAGGCTAAAAAAAGTCTGCAGAAACAAGCCATCACTTGCAAGCATAAGGTTCAACAAGTTGTTGTTAGCTGCCATGGAGTCCCATCTGACTGATGGTGATCCCAAGCACAGTGGTAGGAAATGCTCCAGCGTAACGGCACTATCCCTATGAAGGCTGCAGATCGGACGATTGTGGGTTTTTGCTGGCTCATTTTCAAAAGTAGAACACCAGGCCTTTCTTCCTAGTTGTCTTATTCCGGAAGCTCCACTGAAACCAGTTCAGCATCATAGTAACACACAAGCCTCCACTAACAGACAGTTGGTGGCTGCCCATGAGGTCCACTGGCTGAGAAGGTCTCCTGCATGGAAGGGGAGAATTCTACCACTGTTGAGCACAGGTTTAATAATTCATTCAACATTTACTAACTACCTACCACGTGCCTGTTCTAGGTGCCTGAGGTTTTGCAACTACAAAACAGACGAGGTCCTCGCTCCTATACAATTAAAGACAACCAAATACCCATATATAGTTAAAACTGTGGTGAGTGCTACGAAGTTAAAGAACGTAATGCAATTTGGGGAAGCTGAATTTAAGCTAGGGACGTCAGGACAGGCCTCTTTTAGGGTGAGATCTGAAGGATAAATAGTTGGCCAGGAAAGCGTGGGGTAGAAGATTCAGGCCGGCGGGCACACACAGCTCAAGCGCAGGGCAAGCAGTTGGGCGGGTTCAGAAATGGGACCAACGCGGGACAGAAGGGGCGGAATGCCACCGCAGACATGGACACCTTGTTCTTCGTTCACTGCAGAGATGCGAACACTCTATTCACGTTTTAGGGGGTCGCCTCACACTCCAGTCCCCGGTGTGTGTCATTTCATTCATTCAACTAAAACGGCTGCCAGGTGTGGGCCCCATTCCTTTCCGCCCCGCGCGGGGAGGAGGAAGCGGCGAGGACCCCGCCCCGGGGCAGGGAGCCCAGGCTGGGAGAAGGGGCGCCGGGGAGAGCACGGGCGGCCAGTGCGTCGGAGGGCGCCTAGTCCCTCGGCGCGGGAATAGTCACCTGAGCGGTTCAGCACCTCCCACTCGTCCTGCCCGCAGAAAATCGCGGCCAGGGCCGACAGTTCGTCCCGCACAGGCTCGGCCATGGCCGCGCGACCCTGCCGTTTCAGACACCGCCCCTTCCGCCACCGCCGCCGCCACCGCCGCCGCCGCCGCCGCCCGTGCCTCCACCGGCCCAGAGCAACGCGGCCAAGCCGCCACCGGAGGGCGCCCCGCACCTCCGCAGCGCGCGGCGGGCCGGCGGGAAGGGGGCGGGGCCGCGGCGCAGGACCCGGAGGGAGCAGGATGGAGATGCCTTAGGCGTCCGGCCCGGCAGCCCCATTGAGGCCCACTGCGGCATACTAACTCCAGAAGGAAGGCTTAGTCCCTGGTTTAGGATTTTTTTCGGAGTCCTAAGGAGCCATGGGGGAGCCCTAGTGGAGCAGTGGTTAAGAGTTGGCTGCTAACCAAAACGTCGGTGGAGTCCACCAGCTGCTCCCTGGAAACCTTGTGGGGCAGTTCTGCTCTGTCCTGTAGAGTCGCTACTAATTGGAATCCACTCGAGGCTAAGGGGTTTGTTTGGTTTTTGGCTTAAGGAGCCCAGTGGTTCAGTGGTTGAGTGCTGTCTACTAACTGAAAGGCCAGCAGTTGGAACCCATCAGCCGCTGTATGGGAGAAAAGACCTGGTGATCTGCTTCGTAGATTACAGACTAGGAAAACCCATTGGGTCAGTTCTACTCTGTCACTTAGGGTGACTATGAGTTGAAATGACTCTAAGGACTCACAACAACAACAAAGCCCCCGCTCAGGGTCTTTTTTTAGAGGGGACCATCCCGCTCCTGTTGCTTTCCTGAGCGAAGAGAAGCCTCCCAGGAAAGCCCCAAATCCTCTTAACTTTGTAGCCCCAGAATTTGAACATTCACCATACCCTCGCCTAGAGTTGGCCTTGGGCTACTGGGGTTAGGGACGCACAGGGCAAAAGGAACTTGGCTCACAGAGATCCCACAACTTTTGTTTGTATCAGAAATAACATTTCATGAGATAAATTGGGCAATTTCGGTGGCTACACAGTACTGTCATTGACCTACAGAAATCAGAAAGAACTTGGATAATTTTAAGACTCTGAATCATCATCACGATTCCCAGTGTTGCTAAAAAGAGGTTTGAAAAAGGAAAAGATTCTGGCTTCTGAGAACAGAAAGGAAATCTAACAACATAGACTGCAGGGAGAATGCTTTTCAGAGGATGCCATGGGATTTCAGTGACCCCAAGTAATCAGGAGCACTGCTGTGCATATAATTGGAAAGACAAAGGTTTATTTAAACTCATAATTATCTCTGATGTGGCCAATTTGTTGTGTTTTTTTTTTTTTTTAAATGACTCCTTTGAGTCATTTCCAAAAGCAGCGGTTCATAATTAACTCTTAGAGATTTTGGAGCAAGAGAGTGAATTTTTAATTTAAAGTATTAACTTACTTGATTTTCGTTTGAAGTCCAACGTTGGTTTTAAAAGTGGCAAGAAATATTCATTTAGGTATTTGATTTATTTATTAAAGATAATTATGAAATAATCAAATCTCAAATTTTGTATCCCAAATTCAATTTAAGTAATATGTTTGGCCTCTCAGTTATGAATGCATCAAATAAGATAAACAGCAAGACTCCACCTGTCAGAAATATCAGGAGGCAGTCGCTGAAGCCTGCTGTCAGCAAGGGGTCCGTGGAAATTGATGTAAGAGTGCATCAATCTATTTAAAATTTTCTTGTCAACAGATTTCTTCTTTGCTCTTCCTTTCTCCCTGGATTTCTCAAACTGCTTTTCATACTTCATTTAGCCTGTTTAAATAAAGAAGTCGGTGTGAATGTCTTTTAAATTGACACTATCGTAAGGCACCGAAGTCCCGTGAATGTGTTTCAGCACTCTGACATTTGGAAGTAATGATCACAGAGACAGCATAACGTCAGCTTGATATTTCTCACACTATGAAAATATCAGCTACATGTCAAATATCTGAAGTCCACCTTCATGTAATAAATTTTCTTGTATTCACAGGCTACTGAAAATTCTAAATATTTAAAATGTGGAATGAATGTCTACAGTTAGAGCATGGCCTCTCTTTCTCTGTCTCTCTCGTTGTATGATTTGCTAGAACAATATTATTTGTATATAAAACTTTTCTAAATATTTCCTTCCCCATTTAAGTTTAAAATCTCTCACCTCCATTTTGAACCACTAGGCCAGGAGATAGTTCTTTTTACTTTTCTAGGAACACACTTCTCACTTCCTCATGAGTAGTAGTATATTGTTATTGCTGTGTGCTGTTGAGTTGATTCTGACTCATAGCAACCGTATAGAGTAGAACTGCCCCTTAGGGTTTCCTAGGCTGTCATCTTTATGGAAGCAGACCACCAGGTCTTTTCTCCCATGAAGCGGCGGGTAGGTTCAAACCACTGACCTTTTGGTTAGCAGCCGAGCACCGAGTAATATATAGACTTAAATATTCAACTCTAAGTCTGAAATTTTAAGTCAAAACCCACTTGAGCATAGAAATGAGAACACACAATTTTAAGAATATTAGGAGAGGTTAAGTGTTAGCATCATGTCTAAAAGCTGAGAATCATAATACTAAAATGGTTAAGTGTGAAAAGAAAAATTATCATATTAAGACTCTGAGAAAAGTAAAATTGCTTTCAGGAACCACTAAGAATAAAGAACAAGAGAGGCATCAAATGCCAACTTGCTAAATGAACCTGAACTCCAAGAAGCGGTGCTACTGGTTCTGTCTAAAGGGTTCCTGTGTTTACTTATTTCACAAAATGTTCTTGGGTACAGACTGTTGACCTGGCTGTACAAGATACGGAGATGAAAGTGACAAGTCCTCACTCTCAAAGACTTCAGTCTAGACAAATCACCACAGTGTCAATTACAAAGTCTTTTACCATAGCTGTATGCTGAGGGTACAAGAATTGCCACATTTTCTTATTGGGGTAAATTTCAATATCATGGTTTAGGGGGAAAGAATGGGGTAAGGAGTAGCATGTACCTCCCACAACTTCCCAGAAGAGAAATACTTTTGTAATGCCCAAAAACATAGTAGGACTTCCAAAAGCACGTAAAACCAGTGATGTCAATTGGCCACAGTTCCTTGTGCTCTTTTACAAGGTACAAGTCACAAATGTATTTTCAGCAAGATAACAAAGTAAAGCAAATAAGATCTGTGGAAATTTGAGCATGACTCTGTGATCATACCCTTTTGTGGAAAGATCCACCTCAACCATGTCAAAATAATCTGCAAACAAACCCATTGCTGTTGAGTCGATTCCAACTCATAGTGACCCTATACTCCCCCCAAAATATTAGTTACACTTCACCTATGACAGACATCTTGATTCTTATGCCTGAGCAAATACCAAAACAGTTCCGACTTGATTTGTGGGAAACCATCCATCTGGCACAGGTCTACTGAGCTAAAAGTTCTAATGACTTATCAGTGTTACACAAATAAATCCTTGGTATCATTAGGGTTTTAGACTTTGTCTGGTTAAAACAACACCCAACACTTTATTTTAGTTACTGATGTAAATGGAGTATTTGTATTTATTATATTTTCCCAGTGTGTGTTACTAGCATACCCAGTTTGTATTATTTGAGGTGGAGTTGAGGATTGTGTAACTTTAAAAAAAAAAAATCTCTTTCTCCAAACTCATAAAGGGACTATAAATGAGTAAACTCTGCCATTTTTGCAAAATTAATTCATAGTGGTTAAAAATGGAAAACGAAAGTTATATCAAAGACCCATGACTATGATTAGGAAAATTAGACCTGGGTGTCTTTTTTAAAAGTAGTGGAGGCTCTAGGAAAAGACGTGTTAGATACAAAGAGAGGGAGGAAAGAAGGCAAGGAGGGAAAGAGAAAGAAAGAAAAAGAAGGGGGAGGAAGAAGAAGAAAGAGGAAATGCAGGGGAGATAGGAAGATAAACACTTCAGAGGACAGTAAGAAAATGAGGTGAAGGAAACCATGAGTTAGCAATTTGGCTTAATTTCTAGAAGAAATAAAAAAGGTTTGATTCACCTGCTTTTTAAATAATAAAGATAACTGAAATTTTACTGAGTAATAATATGAGGTCTGGGTTTTTGTTTTGTTTTCAAAATAATACAGGAAAGGGGAAGAGGCTGGAGGTATGGACAGGGCAGGGTTAGCCGTGGGTTAATGATTGTTGGAGCAAAGAGATGGGCTCATAAGCGTTCAGTATGCTATTCTGTCTACTTTTGTGTATTTCAAATTCTTTATAATAAAAATTTTAAATTAAATTTTAAAATTATTCAGTAAATAATACAACAAGGTATTTGGGTTTTGCATAATGCTTAATTAAGGGGAAAAAGACAGAAATAAATGGAAAACATAGGGAGGAAGAGAGAACAGAACCAGAGCTAAACAGAACAGAGTTAGCGGAAGATATTAAAAGACAGAAGAAACAGGTCCTGGAGTGATATGTTAAACAAATGTATGATTTAGGATCAGGTTTAGGTGAGAAAAGCATAGAGCATAACACTTCAGTGACTTTAACAAGATAGAAGATACACATTTAAGTCTGGAGTTAGCCAGGCTGGGGACTTTGGTGCTCCACAGTGTCAGGATCCAGGCTCCTTGTACGTTACAGCTTTGCTATGCTTGGTGGAACAGTGGTTAAGAGTTCGGCTGCTAGCCAAAATGTTCTTAGTTCAAATCCACCAGCTGCTCCTCAGAAACCCTATGGTGCAGTTATACTCTGTCCCATAGGGTCGCTGTGAGTCGGAATCAACTCAGTGGCAACAGGTTAGGTTTTTTGGTATGCACAGCTTTGGCTCCCAAGGTCATGTTGTGGCCAAGGGTGGCCACTGGAGCCGCAGCTGCCGTGTCTACATGCAGTCTGGAGAAAGAATATCCCAGCTGAAAGTGGGGCTAGAAAATGTTATTTGTATTCTGGGACGCCATGTATCCAGTTTAAAATGGAGGAAGAAATGAAGTATTATAATTATTATGATTATTATTGCTTTCTTATGATGGAAGAAAGAGAAAACACTGTTAGGAAACAGCTGGCAGTCCACATAAAGTTGAGCTTTAGTCAAGAAATTGTCACTAACATTAACTCTTCTGAGCTCACCTTTCCCTCAT